TTTACTAGAGATTATTATGCTAAACCATGAATGGTTGGGTTGTCCTGGTCTTGCATCTGAAGGAGATTTGCCTAGGGGGATGGGATAGGCTACTGTTTGTCCTGCACTAGAATGTCTGAATGCTTGCTAATGGTTACGCTGAGGCAAAAAGACTAAAGAATAAGCTAAGTTTCTTCTAGGTTTCTATAGGAAACATAGAACTTTTCATCTCCAACTCAAACAAACAAACAGACAAAAACCAAATAGACAAAAAACCAAAAATACGATAGACAGGTAGCTTATAAACAACAGAAATTAATTTCTCACAGTTCTGGAAGTTGGGAAGTACAAGATCAAAGCCCTGGCAGATTCAATGTCTGGTGAGGGCTCGTTTCCTTGTTCAGAGACAGCACCTCTTGCTATGTCCTCACACGTAGGAAGACGCAAGGTAGCTCTCTGTAGTCTCTTTTTTTTTTTTTTTTTTTGAGTTGGAGTCTCACTCTGTCACCCAGACTGGCCACCGCAGCCTCGACCTGCTGGGCTCCGGCGTTCCTTCCGCCTCAGCCTTCCAAGTAGCTGGAACTACAGGTGTGTGCCCGGCTGATTTTTTGACTTATTGTAGAGATGAGGTCTCGCCAAGTTGCCCAGGAGGGTCTCGAACCCGCGGGCTCAGGCAATCCTCTCACCTCAGCCTCCCAAAGTGCTGGGATTACAGGCTGAGCCACCGAACCTGGCTTCTGTGGTCTCTTTTTAAGGGCACTAACCTCATTCATCTAGGATTCTACTCTCATGTTCTAATCACCTTCCAAAGGCCCCACCATCTAATTGGTGATTAGGTTCAAAATATGAATTCTGGGGACACAAACATTCAGACTATAGCTTTTATCCCCTGTCCCCCCAAAATTTATTTCCTTCTCACATGGAAAGTACATTCATTCCATCCCAATAGCCCCAGAATAGCTATTGCATTAACTTTAAGCTCTAAGTCCAAAGTTTCATCTAAGTATCATCCAAATCAGATATAGATAAGACTGAAGGCCTCACTCATTCTGGGGCAAATTACTACTCCAGCTGTGAACCTATAAAATCAAACACGTTACATGTTTCCAAAATCAGTGGTGAGACAGGCATAAGACAGACATTCCCAATCCAAAAGAAAGAAATAGGAAATGTTGATGGAAAAGCCAAACTCTGTAAAAATATTTAATGAAGTTAATTCTGAGCCAAATATGAGTGTCCAAAGCTTGAGGCACAGTTTTAAGAGGTCCTGAGAACGTGTGCCCACGGTGGGTGGTTTGCATCTTCTTGTTGTTGCTTTTTTTTTTTTTTTTTGAGTTGGAGTTTCACTCTGTCATCCAGAGTGGAGTGCAGTGGCATGCTCCTGGCCACCACAGCCTCAACCTGCTGGGCTCCGGCAATTCTTCCTCCACAGCCTTCCAATTAGCTGGAACTACAGGTGCACACTACCATGCCTGGCTAATGTTTGATTTATTGTAGAGATGAGGTCTCGCCAAGTTGCCCAGATGGGTCTCGAACCCATGGGCTCAGGCAATCCACTCTCCTCGGCCTCCCAAAGTGCTGGGCTTACAGGCTGAGCCACCAAGG